GGCGCTCCGTCTCCCGCGCAAGGCGCTCGGGCCTCCTGCGGACGGCGGGCACAGCCCGGGCGCGCCCAGAAGCGTTGCCTCGACGAGGCGCAGCTGCCGGAGGGCGCCCCGAGGCGAGCAGGCGTCCAGGAACCGACGACGGCCTTCGAGAGGGCGTCCGCGAGCCCCCTAAACAGGCCCCGAAGGCCGCGTGAGCAAGTCGGTGTTTCCTCCTCCTCCTCCTCCTCCTCCTCCTCCTCCTCCTCCTCGTCCTCCTCGTCCTCCTCGTCCTCCTCCTCCTCCTCGTCCTCCTCCTCCTCGTCCTCCTCCTCCTCCTCCTCCTCCTCCTCCTCTTCTTCCTCCTCCTCCTTCTCCTCCTCCTCCTGCTCCTGCTGCTCATCCTGCTCCTGCTGCTGCTCCTCCTCCTCCTCATCCTCATCCTCATCCTCATCTTTCCCTTCTCTCCTCCTCCTCCTCCTCTTCCTCCTCCTCCTCCTCCTCCTGCTCCTGCTGCTCCTCCTGCTCCTCATGCTCCTCCTCTATTTATCCTCATCCTCCTCCTCCTCCTCCTCCACTCCTCCTCCTCTCTTCCTCCTCCCCCTCCCTCCTCCTCTTCTCCTCCTCCTCCCTCCTCTTTTTTTCTTTTTTTCTCCTCTCCTCCTCCTCACTCTCCTCTTTCCTTCTTCCTCCTTCCGGAGGTCTGCACGCGTTGCCGCGCCGCGAGCAGCACAGGGGTACGCGCCGTCGGTCCACGGCTTCGCCCCTGGGCCTCCGCCTTCCCTTCGCCCTACCTCGTTTTGCTCGGGCGAGGTGCCAGCCAGGGGTGGGAGCGGGGCGAGGAGGAGGAGGAGGAGGAGGAGGACGAGAGGAGGTAGGAGGAGGAGGAGGAGGAGGAGGGAAGGGAGGAGGAGGAGGAGGAGGAGGAGGAGGAGGAAGAGGCGGAGGAGGAGGAGGAGGCCGAGGAGGAGGAGGAGGTGGAGGAGGAAGAGGAGGAGGAGGCCGAGGAGGAGGAGGAGGAGGTGGAGGAGGAGGAGAAGGAGGAGCAGAAACAGGGAGCAGAGGAGGGGGGAGGAAGAGGAGGAGGAGGAGGAGGAGGAGGAGGAGGAGGAGGAGGAGGAGGAGCAGGAGGAGGAGGTGGTGGAGGAGGAGGAGGAGGAGGACAGCAGGACGACCAGGAGGTGGAGGAGAGGAGACTCATGAGCAGGATGATGAGGGGACTCCCTCCTCCATCCCTCTGGATTGCACATTTCCCGCTTTTCTGTCGGGACACCATGGGTCTTCCAGGGTACTCCTGTCCCCCCTCGAGCTTTAAACATACATGCATGAAGCCTTGATATCCTCTTCTCCTCCCCTCTTCTTCCATCCTCCCCAGAAGAACTAACCTGTCCTGGCGCGCGTCTTGACAAAGAGTTCAAGGCGAATCCAGCTGCGACCACGACGGCCTCCCAGGCCAAACAAACTGAGGAAACAAAAAAGACACCATCCCTCCCTCATCCTCTCCCTCCTCCCCCTCTCCAGCGTGGGTTCTTGTTCACGACGTAGGCCCCCAGGGCTCTCGACCCCATCCCCGCGGCTGGTGTTCCGCCATGGTCAATTCGCTGATTGTCTTGGGGCCCGAATGGGTTTCCAGCTGCCGGAAACGTTGAAAAGCAAGCCGTCGCGGTTCTTCATCACGCTCGAGCTGCGTGCCGCGCGCCCCCCCCCCCCCGAAGCTGTTCGGGGGTGCGCCCTGGCCAGAGTTTCGAGGGGAGGGCAGCCGCGGCGACGAGCCCCGAGGTTCGACGTTGCGACCAAAACAATGACGACATCGTGCAAGATCACGGCCCGAGCTCTGGAGTTATGATGTTCCAACCTACTTTAGCTTTGACCACCAGAAAGAATCTCCTGCACCAAGAAAGTACCGACACCAGAGAGTCTCCACGTGTCGGGCCCTGGGAGGCGATACTCGCTCGACACTGCTTCGACACTGTTCTGGGTGCTCGAAAGTATTTCTGTGATGTGGTCCTCAAGCACGATGGGAGCAACACAGCTCTCTGGAGCCCGTCGTGCTGCGGCGCGTCTCGAGCCCGATCGAGCCGTGAGGGCTTCCCGCGGCCCGAGTCTGGGCGGAAGCGCCCAGGGTGGAACAACAACAGAAATATGCGGCGTCGAAGTCTCGGGGAGAGCGTCCCCAGACTTCAGTCGGGCGTGTCCCTCTGCAGGGGGAGATTCAAAGATGGTAATAACAAAAAGGCTGGGACGATGTTTGGAGTGGGTTTTGACCATTTGGGGGCATTGTTGGTGGGGATATTTTTTTGATTGCTCGTCCAAAGCCCCCCTGTAGCGGAACAGGCCGGGCCTAACCCTAGACTCGAGACGCCCAGGAAGGCCCTTCGAGCAGGTCGAGATCCCCTGTACCCTCTCCGCCGAAGCCCGGAGAGGCCTGGGCCCCTTGCGCCCTCCCCCCCTCTGGCCTGTGGGGCCAGACTTAAGTTGGGCCTGTTCCTCTACACGAGAGATGTTCAGAAGTAGTCTAAAAATAGTCAGGGGGCGATTTTTCTGCTATTCTTGAGCGCTCTTTGGGGCATTTTGGGGGTATGTTAATTCTTCGTCCAAAGTCCGCCTGTCTGGGGGGCGTGCCCGACCTAAGGCTAGAATAATGTCGATGTCGCCACTGCACACGGGCGAGGAAGAGGTTCAAAAACAAGCGCTGGGACGCTGGGCGGAGGGAGCCGCCCCTGGCGCTCCCACACGTGATCGTTTTTCTATTGCGCCGATCCGAAAGTTTCCCCAATTTCGCCACCGTGTTCGCCGCGGCCATCTGGGGTGGCGCGCGCAGGATAAGACTCATGGGGCCCGAGGGCGGACGGGGGCGATGTCGCGAGGGCAAAGTCGGCGCGCCGATGGGCAGCCCAGCGCCCCGTTTGGCCGGAGGGGCCCAGTACAATGCAAGGGCAGAGCCTAACCCCCGCCCGGGGTCGGGGGATCGGGTTCCCCTTCCCAATTTAAAATCTTAAATCCCAAACGGTGTATTTACTCGAAAATGAGCAAACGGCATAGGGTCTCCTCGAAAAAAGCCTTCGGGTTCGGTCATTCGACGACCCGGAAAGTTTACCGGCCGACCTGAAAGTGGCCAAATCCCACAGGATTTGCGCCCAACAAAAAAAGCGGGTCCGGTTCGAACGACCCGAGAATGTGCAAACCCCCGAGGACTCTTTGCAAACAAACATCGTTCTCGAGGTCTTCGGGCCTACTCCGAAGAAACCGAGCATGGGAAAACCGCTCATAACTTCCTATTAAAAAGTTTCTCGGCGGTTCCGGGCCTCGTCCGAAGGAGCCGCCGATGGGCAGACCGCTCAGGACTTCCTGCACAAGAAACGGTTTCCCGGGTGAGCCATTGTCAAGGGGAGCGCGCCTCGCGCGGGATCGGGGTTCGCACGGGGGCGCGGCTGCTCTCGCTTCTCCAGCGGGCATGCATTGCCGCGCCCTTCCAGCATAGCGTCTACGCTGCATTCGCGCGGCGCCGTGCCTCTCAAATCGGAATAGGCTTTCGGAACGCCGATGTATTCATTGTTTTGCCGATCGGCGCGGGCCCCCAACCCCCGCCCCCCCCACAATGGAGTAGATTTTGGCTGTTTTTTGGCGCCTGTTTGCGGGTGGAGCCTCTCCCCCAGAGGCCGCACTCTTGCAAACAGTCGCGCTACGCATAGGTCTGGAGCAAGACCCCCTCCTTCCGCCCAGTATGTCTAAACGCCGAATAAAAGAGCGCTGCCCAATTAGCCGATCCCGACCCGCCAGCGGTGATGACCTCGGCGGTGCATCGCCGATGTATCGCCCATGCGGCGCGATCCTCCGACCCCATCTACTCCCCGACCCCATGTAGGAGGCCTCTAGAGATGCAAACTTTCTGTGGATCAGGGTTTCCTGAGACGGCCACTCGGTCCTGATGGACCAACGATGGCCTTTCTATGTTTCGCCGACCCGCCAGCCAGCGGTGATGACCTGCGCGCGGCACTCGATGAGCGCGCGCCGCGCACAAGGCATCACCGCGGGTGGGGGGTCGGGGTCGGCATCGAGGGGGCGCCAAGGTCGGCTCCCCGAGCCCGGCGGCTGTGGCCGTTTCCGCATCGCCCCTGAACTTAAGTCGTGCCTGTCCGTCTACAGAAGGAGTGTTCAAACATTGATTTAAACATAGTTTGGAGAGGATGTCCGACTATTTTTAACCATTTTGGAGTATGTTTGACTATTTTTATTTTCGTCCAAAACCCCTTTGTAGGAGGACACGCCCGACCTAACCCTAAACTCACTGGTCCCTAAAATCCAACGACACGAACAAAAATGCAAAATCGTGCAGAATCACGACTGGAGAGCCTGACCTGATATCTTTCTGCTGTATTGTCCGAGCTTCGTCGACCTGTGAGGGTCCCAGACGGCTCGAAGCCACGCGGAGACGCCAGGCTCGAGAGAGTAGCGACGCCAGGATCTCATGGGGCCTCGCTCCAGGGGCGCGTCCCGACCCCGACCCCGTGGCGACGAGGCACACGCCGGGCAGCGGCACCCGCACCTTTCCCTCCGCCGGTGCTGCCAGAAGTGCCCTTGGCCCAGGGCGCCCCCAAGATCTCGAAGGAGGCCCCCGCGGCCTCCAGGGCGCCCCAAAGGGGCCCCAGGGGGCTCCAGAGGAGAGGCAAGAGTGCTGGGCCTGGACCAGGGGGGCACCTCTCCTCCTTCTGATCCTCCTCCCCCCTCCTCCTCCTCCTCCTCCTCCTCCTCTCCTCCTCCTCCTCCTCCTCCTCCTCATCCTCCTCCTCCTCCTCCTCCTCCTCCCTCTCCTCCTCCTCCTCCTCCTCCCCCCCCCCCCCCCTCCTCCTCCTCTCCTCCTTTCTCCTCCTCCTCCCTCCTTCTCCTCCTCCTCCTCCTCCTCATCCTCCTCCTCCTCCTTCCTCCTCCTCCTCCTCCTCCTCCTCCTCCTCCTCCCCCTCCTCATCCTCCTCCTCGCGACCCCGGCCGCGCCGCCGCCTCTGCTGTAAAGGGGCGGTGGGGCAGGAAGCCGCCGCCCGTGGCGCCGGCACCAGGGCGCCTGCCCCGCCCGCGCCGCCGCGCCCTCTCCCACGGCCTTAAGTCCGGCACGTTCCTCTACAGGAAGAAGAGTCAAAAACGGTAGTTCAGCAAATAGTCGTGGGACGATATTTTTACGATCTTTGGACTATTGTTTGAATATGGCTTGACTATGTCTTCTCTATCTTCCAGAATTCGCCTGTAGGAGGACATGCCCGACTTAACCCGTGCCTCGGAGAAGAGAAGCGGCACGAACAGATGTAGAATTTCGGAGGTCCGCGCGGATGTTTCGGCTCGGCGCCCGAGCCCCTCCCAGCGGAGCCCCCCTCTCGAAGGAGAAGAAACGGCATCACGATGCAAATTGTCGATGACTTGCGCGAAGTTCTTGGATCTGCGCTGGAGCACCCCCCAGCGGCGCCTCCGGCGCCGCCCCCAGCGCGCTCCGCGCGCCAGGGAGGGGCCCAGCGCCGATATCCAATTGTAAGGCATCGGCGTGGGCCTCCGAGAGTTTGTGCGTCCTTGCCATTTCATGTTTCTCGACCCGTGTCGGCCGGCCAGCGTTAAGTCGGGCCTGTCCCTCTATAGGAGGAATATCCAAAAGTATTTTAAACAAATAGTCTGGGGACGATTGTTCGATTATTTTTGGCTATTTTTGAACGTGTTGGGGGTATTTTTGATTTCTCATCGAAAATCTGCCTCTAGGGGGACACGCCTGACCTAAGGCCAGCGACGGATCCCGCCCTCCTCCAACGTTGCGCCCTCCAGACGCCGCCGGCTCCCCTGAGCCTCCGACCTGCTCGCGCCCGATCCTCTCGCGCCTCGGCGACCTAGTTCCAGCACTGCTTGTGCGCTCCCTTCTCCCATGCTTCCTTCGCTATTGTTCGGGGGCGGCCAAGAGTGCGGTGATGACTAGGGACTAGCGGGAGGTGGATATCATGTTGTGGGCCATGATATTTCCCCAGATTTCATGGCGCCTCTTCTTATTGCATTACGTCCCTGGCCACATGCCGCGCACATGCCGCCGGCCATGATTTGCACTCCCCCCTCTTGGACGCCCTCCTCTTGGATGCCCCCGGTGTCGACTCCGAGCTTGCGCCTCATGGCGCAAGCACACTGAGGCGCTTCTCCTGTGCGCCTCCCGACCCGTCTGCTGAAATCCCTTCTGCGCCTTTCAAAGTCTCCCGCCCCGCCCGCTTCGGCTCGGACGGTACAGTGCCGTTTTCAATACAGGCTCCGCGTGCGGATCGTGTATTAAACATGCAGGGATTCAGTATCAAAAACAAGGATGAGCTCATGGATACATTTATTCATACAGTAACCATTACTAAAAATCCGATGTTTTTTTGCTAAAGTCCTATTTGTTAGAAGCTGCCCTGTACGCCCTCCAGACGTCGCGACCGCTCTGCTCGGGTCGGGCGAAAGGGGGGGATTGGGAAAGGGGGGGTCACGAAATTTGCTGCATGCAGCTGGTTTCGACCCCACCGAGGGGCCCATTCCTCGATACATCGCCGCCTCCGGCGCCGGGAGGCGCCGGGAAAATCAGCTACTTGAGCTGATTCTCAAACCCCCCCTTTGCTATCCCCCCCTTTCGCCCGACCCGTTCTGCTCTCGGCGCCCCTGGCCGTCCGCGCCCGACCCGCCTGCACGCCCCGCCTCCCTCCTTCGTGTCCCCGCAGGTGCGCCCTCCGGGCGTCGCTAGCTCTCTCGGGCCCCCGGAGAGGAGGAGGAGGAGGAGGAGGAGGAGGAGGAGGAGGAGGAGGAGGAGGAGGAGGAGGAGGAGAGGGAAGGAAAGGAGGAGAGAGGAAGAGGAGGAGGAGGAGGAGGAGGAGGAGGAGGAGGTGGAGGAGGAGGAGGAGAGGGAAGGAAAAGGAGGAGAGAGGAAGAGGAGAAAGAGAACGAGGAGGAGGAGAGGGAAGGAAAAGGAGGAGAGAGGAAGAGGAGAAAGAGAACGACGAGGAGGAGGAGGAGGAGGAGGAGGAGGAGAAGGAGGAGGGGGAGAGGGAGGAGGGGCGGGTCGCCTGATTAAGCCCCTGGGGTGCCCGCATACCCGACTCGCTCAAGGGCAGCAGGAGTGGGGGAGAAGGGCTCGGGGGGCGATGCATCGACCGGCCCCCCCCATCTCCCACTCGTCGGCCGACCGGGGCCTGGCAGCCGGGACCGCTCGGTTTCGCCAGCGGGGGCATGTCGCCGAGCTGTCGGCTGTGTACCACCGATGCTCCCCCCCCCACTCCTGAGTTGGTCCCCTTCAGCGTTGCCCCCGAGTTGGTCCCCCCCCTCGCTGAGCTGTCGAAGTCCCGCAAGGGAGGGGGGGCACGGAGGGGGGGGTGTGAATTCGATCGCTGTTGCACCGAACCGCCCCAAGCAGATGCCCCCCAGCCGCCGGCAGGTGGTCGTTTTTTTATTCGTTGTTTTGCCGATCGGCGCGGGACCTCGCACCCTCCCCCCTATGGAGTAGATCTTAGCTGTTTTTGGCGCCTGTTTCGAGCAGGTTGAGCCCCTCCTCCATAGGACGCACTGTCGCAAACAGTCGCACTAAGCAGAGGCCTGGAGCCAGACCCCCCCCTCCCCCCCCGCCCACTGTCGAAACGCCGAATTACCCCAGTGCGACCCTACCTAGAAGTTGGAGCCCCTAGGAAAGCAGCATTAGTTGCTATGCTATGCTATGCCATGCTATGCGCTATGCGCTATGCTATGCTATGCTATGCTATGCTATGCTATTATATGCTATGCTGCGCTGTGCTGTGCTGTGCTGTGCTGTGCTGCGCTATGCTATGTTATGCTGCGCTATGCTATGATATGCAGGGCTATGCTATGAGATGCTGTGCTGCGCTTTGCTATGCTACGCTCTGCTCTGCTATGCTGTGCTCTGCTCTGCTAAAGCTCGGCGAAGCTAAGATGAAGGCAAGC